AGAGACATTCCAAATTTTCCAGGCCTGAACCTAATATTAAGAGAGAGAATTTTATGCAACCTCACAGAAGACCTAAAAGGGGTGGAAACTGAGGACAAAATAATAGCTCTCATGTCTTTCTATCATTAACAAGGAATAAAGTTCAGAAACAAATGATTTTCAAGGATGACATCAAAAAGAAATTGAGCTACCAATTCACTCTTATCATCATCAAAATAAAAACAAAATGAAACATAACCCAACTTACAAGTAGGTCAAAATCATATATCTATTTTTCAAAATAAAAATAAAAGAAAATAATTCTTTTCATTTTTTTTTTCTTACCAGAATCTTGGTTCACAGAAACATGGGAGCAAATTATTATGAGGAACAAAATCAGCAGCATTTTCATATTACGACCTGAAAAATCTCCAACTTGAAATCTGAAAAGGCGAAAAGAAAAACATTTCTGTGGATATTTGGAGAAAGAGACTGACACGCATAAGAACACACAAAAAAATTATATAATAAATTAGGTGCAACAGGGGACAAGGAAAATTTGAGGTTTCCTGACCTTCTGATCTGTGACGTGCCTTAGAGAAAAGTGAACCACCAACATTTACAGAATCTTAAGTTTCTCCTGGTCCCCGGACCCTGTAGAAACAAAACATTGTAGATTGTTAATGGAGAGAGCCAGAAGTATTCTATTTCCAACAATATTATGTGTTCCTATTAGTCATTTTTCCTGTACCTTAGTGTCACCCTCCGTATATTGATTGCCAAGACAATTCAGAGTTTATGGTTGGGACACAGTTTAAGACCTGATTTTGTAATTTCTCCATCATGAACATGTAAGTGTATTTCATATTTGATAAGTATTTCTAGATGTCAATTAAAAATTTTTCCTACAGAATTAGAAAGGTAACCATTTCCCTTCATCTTTAAATCTGAGAGAAGACAAAAAATTAGTGACTCTCCACATTCCATATGATGTATTGCTCCTTGGCAGGACTCGATTTGTACTATTTTGCTTCCGTCTCCCTAGAACTGCATGAGGTAAGCGTTTTTCAATTCAATTCAGCCCAACACACTTCAGCCATCTTGAATTATTCATTTCATGGAATGAAACAGGATACTAAAGATACTGAAAATAAATATTTTAATTCAGCAGGTTGGGCTCATTCATTCCCTCATTCATCCACCAAACCAAAAAATGAATTGATCCATATTAATAAACTAGTGTCTGTTTAATTTTTACCCAAACATGTATTTGCAGTGTTATATATAGCCATCTCATTTCTTATCGAGCAAGTTCTTAGTGCTTAAAAGTTCACTCCTTCAGAAAAGGGGCCTGTGCCATGAGAAATTCCATTCCCATTTCCTCATCTACTTCATCTTCCCTCTGACATTCTGGAACTTGGGACTCTGTTCTATTCCTTCATAAGAACCCTAGATGAGATAAACTTTTCAGGTCATGAGTCAATTTATCAATTTGATTCCAGAGGTAATCATCGAGCTGGAAGGGACTTGAGGTTTTTTGTTGTTGCTTTTAGTCAAACACTTCTATTTTAGAGAAACTTGAGTCCCAAAGTGGATTGCCCAAAGTAAAAACCAATTCATACTATCTATACATTTTTCTGCTACTGTCTATAACAATAACAAATTCTATCTTTATTGAGCCTTTAGTATGTGCCATGCCCTGGGCTGAGAGCTTTACATTTGTTTTGATATTGATAGCAAACCTAGCAGCAGGTGATATTATTGTTCCAATTTTACAGATAAGGAAACAAATTCATAAGGGGATGTAACTGACTCAAGGTCACATTGATAAAATGGTCCACAGTTGAGATGAGAGCCCACATCCGTCTGACTAAAATTTACACTTTTTTAAAAAAAAATAATTTATTTATTTTTTTTATGGTGACATTGGTTAACAAAATCTAGTAAGTTTCAGTTGTACATTTTAACAGTAAGGCATTTATATATTTACATTGTGTGTTCACCTCCCACAGTTAGATTTCTTTCTGTCACCACATATTTGACTCCTCGTACCCCAACTAACACCCTCTTCCCCTCTTCCTCCTACCCTCTGTTAAAATCTATACTTTCAAACTCAGTTACCCTGCATCCTTAACTTGATATTATGAACACAGAAAGTGTCTCCAAGTTTCTTTGTTCTATCTTTTTTCTAAGTGTCAGGAAACATTGGTACTTGTTTTCACGCCTTCTTATTTTTGCTTTTCACAACCAGAGCTTTATGCTATTCACTTTTCTGTTCATATTGAGGGTTAGAAGTAAGTGCTGTCTTTGGGAGTTATGAGAAAAGAGAAGATGCTTCAGGAAGAGTCCACAGGATAAATGTCAAAAAATGAGAAGTAAAGAGTATTGAATGAAAGTTAAAACCTAGATAGAAAAGTGAGGATGAGGTTAAGGCCACAACAGTCCCAAAGCAGCATGCAGCTTCTGGAAATATCCCCAAGCAGATGGTCAATACCACTGGTACATTAAGAGTTGGCTTTGGGATAGTATCTAGTGAACCAATTTTCTCGCAGTCTTTAAGTGGAATCCCAAATCTGGTGTGCAGTAAGGCTACATAGCACTGTGAAGCCCAGTGAAAGGTTCTCTTGTAGTGATTATGTGCTCCACTTTGTGAATGTGGTAAAATCAGCAGTGGGACTAAATCTCCAAGTTCATGCTTGGGAGGCTTGGGTTCATTTTTATATCAAAACATGAATAAATTTCCTGTAATCTGTATGGTGTTCTACTACCTTATCTGACTAGGATTTACATAATTAAAATTTTAAAACATCTGAGTATTTTAAATTTAAAAAATACCCTAGGATATGAGGGGAGAATAGAGGAGAGATTTAAAGTAATGACATAAAATTTAAATTCACGGTACACTCCATCTTAATATAACAACAGTGAGATTGATTACTTCTCATTACAGAAACATTCTCAAAAGTACAAGTCTTTTTAATCTGAATTTTGTTGTACTCTATTCATTCTGAATCAAGCAAGCTGAGGCTAATATACCTCTTTTGGAAGTTATATGTTGTAAAAGGCCTTTTTAAAAATCTGGATCTCTGTAAACTTTCTGTGTGAAGATAGGGTGTTTCTAATTTAAACAACAGCTGCAAAAGCAACACAGCCATCCAACCCTTGGCTTCAAACCAGAATATTTAGAACTTGTGCAACACCTCTCTTGAGGCTATCAAGAACCAGAGGTTTCAGGAAGACCTTTCCTCCATACGAGCCAATTCAGAATCTAGGACATGTCTTTAAAAAAAAAAAAAAAAAAGTAGAGCCTGAAAGGAATACAAAAGAAATGTCAGGAGAATTGAGAAAAAAATGCCCTTTCTTTCCTTTAAAATAAGCGTACAAGATACATCATTTCTAAGTACTAATTTCATTTTTCTTCAGAAACGAGAATATTCTCAGCTGTTGCACTGTAAGAAACAACACTGGGTCTGTGCCACAGAGTTCAAGATAAATGGTTGCTTGCTTACTTAACCCCTGATCGCTTCACTATTTCCCTTCCTCAAGCCATTTCTACTTCTCAGAAGTCAAAAGGTAGAAAGAAAAATATTCAAAGTGAGACTTGAGTTCATGTTGAAGTGCTTCAGGACAAATCTTTGGCACACAATAAGAACAAATAAACATCGAATCATTGATGGTAAGCAAAACAAAACATACAAGCATTTGTGAGGCTCTCAAGTTTCATAGTTTTACTGTTAATGTCATACTTCCCCCAGTTGCATTTTCTGGAATCACAAAAAGAGGCTGTATATGTTGATCATATTTGAACAAACTCATGCAAGTGACCTTGGCACTTTGTAAAATGAACACTCTTCTGTGTTGAGAAGTGCTTGGCTCTGTGGAAAGAGCACAGTCTATAAAGTCTCATGACTTGGCTTTCAGAAGTTATTACTAACAGGAAAAATGAATTAATCAATGCAGCATAATGACACAAAGGCATATTACACATCAATCAATGGAATTCACTATAGCTAGGTACAAAAATGTGAATGACTTAGCAATATAATGAGTAAAAATATAAGTTCTAAAAAAAATAGATGCATTATGTCGGTATGTATTTTAATTAGAAAGAACTAAAACTAAGTTTTATCATTTTAAGAGAATATAAATATGATAAAACTATATTTTAAAAAGCAAAAGGATGGTTTTCATACAGCAAGTAAGAAGCTTGGAAATTGCCACTCCATCTCAGCAAGTAAAAAACTGAGCAAACTGAAAAATCAATAACTCTTCTTAGATCTGTAAGAGAACTGAGGTCACAGGGCAAACTGCTGCCCCCAAAATTTGAGAATGATGGGCAAATACAGAGAATTAGCACCTACTAGAGCAGAAAGTGATGATCTGAAGCCTCCACAGGAACCAGTGCCACGGTCAAAAAAAAACTAAAACGAAAACAAACAACAACAACAAAACTGAACTGTAATTAAGAAACGGCTGGAGGCTCACTGTAGACAAGTCTGAGACATGAAAACTCCAGGAGGACCCAGTCATTGAGGGGCCCCACACTTTTGTCAGTTTTACATTGGAGCTCTATTAGGTTCTTACAGTGAATATCTGAGAAAAATACTCTTCTGTTTCTGGCAGAGATAAGAGAAAAGGAACCATGTTGAAATACACCAGAGCATTCTGTTCTTCTTAACAAGGTCTGCTCTCATGAGAAACTATTTAACCAGAGCCTAGCCAGCTGGGGTTTATTAGAGCCTAACTAACCTGGGGGAAAGGAAACATGCAACTCCAGCCCATCTTAGCCTTCCATGTGGGAGTAGGAAAATATCCAATTTCATTCCTCTCTAGCCATTCCATTCCATCTAAGAATGGGGCAGAGGAGTGGGGGCTAAGAATCACTTGTAAATTTCACAGTCCAGAGGCACGAGCACACTGAAAGACTGATATCTAATCACAGGGAACGCTTCTCTTCCCCTCATACCTTACCAACACATTACAGCAGTTAATTTATAGCAGTTTCTTTTACCCAGTACATCAAGTCTGGTTATCAAGAAAAATTATGACAAACTACAAAGCAAAAAAAAAAAAAAAAAAGGAGAGAGAGCAAGCAGAAAGCAGAACTAGACTTAGATATGGAAGGGATGTTGGAATTATCAGACCATGAATTTAAAACAATTGTGATTAACATGCTAAAGGTTCTAATGGATAAAGTAGACAGAATGCAAGAACAGATGGGCAATGTATGGAGATGGAAATGCTAAAAAAAAATACTAAAGATAAAAAAACACTATAATAGTGAATAATGTCTTTGATAGGCTTATCAGTAGACTAGACACAGCTGAAGAAAGAATCTCTGAACCTGAGGAAATCTCAATAGAAACCTCCAAAGCTGAAAAGAAAATGGAAAGACTGAAAAGAAAAAAATAAACAGGATATCCAAGAACGGTGGGAC